ACCCCTACAATAGAGGGTGCTGGATAGTTCTCTCGTCCAAAAAGAATCTAATCAACAGATAATGGACGTAACAATTACGTAAAATAATTCGTCGTAAAATAATTCGTCACAAAATTCTCGCAAATACTACTTCTAGATAACATCATTTTGAAACTTCCGAAATTAATAATGTATTTTGTTAAATAAGAATGAGTGTTTATGGTCACCTACTCCTGCACAATGTCTTTGACAATTTCACAGTGCTTTTTTTAAAGGGAGTGTCTATTTTCTGACCTGCTTGGCATAATACTCCTTGGATTAGAAAAACGCCCAAAAAGTTGAATGTTCATGTCAAAGCCAATTTTCAAAAAGATAACGTAGCTACAAACTCAATTTGTTATTACACATGTATAGAGATTTATTTGGAGACCACTAAGTTTTAGGGCAAAGGTTTGGAAACATGCTGCAAACTTCTGATCAAATATTTTGTGAGACATTTTTGCAGTTGGTTTTAAAGAATTGTAATCAAGCAGCCTTGTGTTCCTCAAAGTAGACGCCGTTACTTGGTGTGTGTTGCCATGGAGACATCATCATTGATATTCATCATCCAGCACATGGCTCAACCCACTGCAAAACATCCACGCCTGATACATGTATCAAAAATGAAAAGAACAAATCACTACAGCAATATGGAACTACAAGAAGTTACTTTTCAATTTATAGAGGAGGCTCAATACTCCTGCAAGATATTAAATATGCTCATTCCTTTTTTTAAGTGGGGGGGCTTTTTGCGTCATGACATTTCAATTTATCCAAGAGAGAATTGATTATCTGGTACCTTGTTGCTGATATCGTGTCTAAATGAATGGATTTAACTCGTGAACAGTTATCACATGTTGCAAGAAAAAAACTCAAAGTGCCTTCAAGAATGACCCCCGAGCCATCCGAAAAGCGGCCACTGAGGGTAAAGGGAATCCTGAGGATTGTGAAATTTATTGTTTTCACTCTGCCAAAAACTCCTTAATACTTGAGCAATATAAAACATACATACCACTGAATCCACTCTGCCAGCCTTTGCCTTGGTGTTACCATGGTGATCACGGGCCTCATCGGTCAGTGAATGTATCTTGCCTCTTGGTGCTTTACCGAACAAGGAAGCTAGTCTCAAAGCCAAAGGTCTTCCGCCATCTTCGTAAGAAAAAGAAACAGTTTAATTTTAAAAACAAACAAAAGAAAAGCTTACACATATTCAGAAGAAATGCACCTGTCCGATTGGACCAAATTCTTTTAAAGAGGGTGTGTTTGAAAGGGCAATTATTTTTATTTATTATCTTGCCTTTTTAGCAAGTCATTAAAAACTTTGATCATAGTTCAATATGAAGACAAATGTAAAAATTGCTCACGTCCTACAAAGACAACTATTTCAGGTCACACAATGATCAAATGATTTGATAAAGATTGCCAATGCAGACAAGACTCACGAATACCACTTCACTTTAGGTTTAAGGAAATGTAGGTGGGAA